TCACCCGGCTCCACTGGCTCCCCATCAGTCAGAGGATCCAGTTCAAAATTCTCGTCCCCACCTTCAAGGCCCTCCATGGCCTTGCCCCTTCCTACTATTCCGACCTGCTAACCCCATATCACACTGTCCAATCTCTCCGCTCAGTGGGCTCTGGCCTGCTCCATCAGTGGTCAGGCCTTCAGCCTATCTGCCCCCACCTTCTGGAACTACATCCTACAGTCCCTTTGCCTTGCTCCCTCCCTTGACTCCTTCAAGGTATGCCTCAAGACCCTCCTCTTCGACCACCCTTCTACCCTCCACCCTCCCTGATCCCAAATCCCACCCCCACCCTGCTCGGGTCCTAATCCCTGACTTCAGTGCCTTGGGATGTCCTCCCGACGTGAAAGGTGCTTTACAAATGTAATATTGTATTCGGACCTGAGCTGGGGGTCGGTTTCGGGAAGGGTGGAGGGCAGGGGGGGAAGGAGGGTGACCGAAGGCATGGTTGAAGAGGAGGGTCTTGAAATGGGTCTTGAAGGAGGCAAGGGAGGGAGCAAGGCGGAGGGACTGCAGGATGGAGTTCCAGAAGGTGGGGGCAGTGTCTAAAGGCTCACCCGACAATTCTGGGGCAGGCGAGGTGGGGAACGTGAAGCAGGCTAGAGTCCGCTGAGTGGAGGAAGCGGGCACGTTGGTAGGAGGTTGCAGAGGTAGGAGGAGCAAGGCTATGGAGGGCTTTGAAAGTGAGGACCAGGAACTTGAACTGTTATCCTCTGTGTGATGGGAAAGCCAGTGGAGTCGGGCGCGGATAGGGGTGATAAGGTCGCGGAGCCTGGTGAGGGAGAGGACATGGGCTGCAGAGTTCTAGATGCTCTGGCGGAGTGACTGGAGGATGGAATTCCAGAGGTTGGGGGCAGAGTGGCTGAAGGCAGGGGGTTAGGAGGTCGCAGAGGTAGGGTGGGGCGAGGCCATGGAGGGCTTTGTAGGTGAGGAACAGGATCTTGAACTGGATCCTCTGAAGGATAGGGAGCCAATGGAGTCGGGCGAGAATGGGGGAGATGGGGTCACGGAGTTTGGTGCGAGAGAGGACATGGGCTGCAGAGTTCTGGATTATCTGCAGCCTGTGGAGGGAGGAGTTGGGAAGGCCGACAAGCAGGACATTTGCAGTCACATCTGGAGGTGATGAAGGCATGAACGAGAGTTTCAGTGGCCTGAGGGGTGAGGTAGTGGCGGAGTCGGGCTATAATAATAATAATCCTCGCATTTGATATAGCGCTTTTCACGTCTTCTGGGCATCTCAAAGTGCTTCTCAGAATATACGGTAAAGTGAATTGACTTTATACTTTGTGGGCAAAACACTGCAGCCAATTGTGCACAGCACTGTCCCACAAACAGCCGTCGATTGAGTGATCAAATCATTTTTTTTGTTCTTAAGGGATTATTATCAGGCGTGTGGAGTAAGGAAACTTGCCCAAGGTTTTGCCCTGCTGAGAATCGAACCCAGGTCTCTCGCTTGCGAGGCGAGTGGTCTAACCACTGAGCCACAGGCCTCCACTGGATGGAGATGGAACCTGAGCTGATGTTACAGAGGTGAGGGAAGGCAGAGCAGGTGATGGGGAAGATGATGTGGGGAAGAAGACAGTTGAGGATCGAAGACACCCAGGTTCCTGACTGGCTGGTGAGTTGTAGTGTGCAACCATGGAGGTTGATGCTGGCAGAGCCTGAGGTGCTGAGGCGTTGGCACGAACCAATCAGGAGGGCCTCAGTCTTGTTCACATTCAACTGTAGGAAATTTGCCCTTATCCAGGACTTGATGTCCGACAGACAGTCTGTCAGGACAGCAGTGGCCCTGGAGTTGAGGGTGGAGGCAGAAAGATAGATATGGAAGTTGACCCCGTGTCTGCGGATGATGTCACCACGGGGGAGCATGTAGAGATTAAAGAGGAGAGGGCCAAGGACAGAGCCCTGGGGGACGCCAGACGTGACAGTGTGGGGGCTGGAGGAGAAATCGTTAGAGGCAACAAAGTGGAGACGGTGAGAGAGATAAGAATCTAACCAGGCAAGGGCAGGTCCGCAAAGATTAAGTAAAGCGGAGAGTCGGTGTATGAGGATGGAGTGGTCGACGGTGTCGAAGGCGGCAGAGAGGTCGAGGAGGACAAGGAGGCAGAGGGAGCCCTGATAACCTTGGAGTAGAAGGAGGATTTGGCGGAGGCAAGAGCGCAACGGTAGATCTTGGTATGATGAAGCCAAATCTGCCGATGGACGGTTAGTTTGGATTTGGTCCAGGCGCATTCAGCAGCTTTCACTTGTGCCTTGAGGGAACGGAGGTGACTGGTGTATCAGGGGGATTTACGGGAGTATGAGGCAGTTCGGGAGGTGAGGGGGGCAAGGGAGTCCAGAATGGTGGAGAGGGAGTTGTGGAGAAAAGAGAGTGAGGAGGGGAGATCGGTCAGTGAGGGCCAGAGGTGAAGGAGTTCAGATGACTCCAGGGCAGAAAGTGATCAGCAATTGCCTAATAGTTCAAAACTATTTTCTCAAGATTACCTTTATAGATACGATGGAGAGGGAGGAAATGTTTTTCCACGGACGGTATGTGATGGCAGAGGGTTGGGAAAAGGGAAGGGATATGGAGGTGTTGAGGGAGATGAAGTGGCTTTGTCGATGATGATGATGTCCGAGACGGTGAGGCCCCGGGTGATCACCAGGTCAAGGGGGGCGGCCATGGTCGTGGGTGGGGGAGTGGATGAGGAAGCAGGTGGAGTCGGCAGAGGTAGAGCAGGAGAGGGTGAAATGGAGGTCGTCTAAGATTAAGAGGCGTTCAGAGAGCAGAGGGAGAGGGAAGATAGGAGGGTGGAAACGTCCAAGAGGAAGGTGGGGGAAGGCCTGGGGGGACGGTAAACAAGGAGGATTTTGAGGGAAAGCCTGAAGGGAACACACACACACACACACACAGATACACACACACACAGATACAGATACACACACACACACACACACACACACACATACACACACACAGATACACACACACACAGATACACACACACACACACACACACACACACACACACACACACACACACACACACACACACATACACACACACACAGATACACACACACACATACACACACACACAGATACACACACACAGATACACACACACACACACACAGATACACACACACACCACACACAGATACACACACACACACACACACACACAGATGCACACACACACCACACACAGATGCACACACACAGATACACACACCACACAGATACACACACACCACACAGATACACACACACAGAGATATACACACACACACACATACACACACACACACACACAGATACACACACACACACACACACACACACACATACACACACACAGATACACACACACACACACACACACATACACACACACATACACACACACAGATACACACACACACAGATACACACACACACACACACACACACACACAGATACACACACACAACACACACAGATACACACACACATACACACACAGATACACACACACAGATACACACACACACAGATACACACACACACACAGATACACACACACACACACACACACACACACACACAGATACACACACACACAGATACACACACACACAGATACACACACACACACACACACACACACACACAGATACACACACACACACACACACACACACACACACACAGATACACACACACACATACACACACACACAGATACACACACACAGATACACACACACACAGATACATACACAGACACACACACAGATACACACACACACAGGTACACACACACACAGGTACAGATACACACAGTCGGTGACTGGCAGTCGGGTGACGAGCGGCAGTTTCTCTGACAGTTGAACGTGTAGGACCCGGAAGTGTCGCGCGCTCCTGAGGCTTCTGCGTGACAGTGTGTGTGGGCGGGGCTGTGACGGTGTGTGTGGGCGGGGCTGTGACGGTGTGTGTGGGCGGGGCTGTGACGGTAGGTGTGGGCGGGGCTGTGACGGTGTGTGTGGGCGGGGCTGTGACGGTAGGTGTGGGCGGGGCTGTGGCGGTGGGTGTGGGCGGGGCTGTGGCGGTGGGTGTGGGCGGGGCTGTGACGGTGGGTGTGGCTGTGGCGGTGGGTGTGTGCGGGGCTGTGACGGTGGGTGTGGGCGGGGCTGTGACGGTGGTGTGGGCGGGGCTGTGACGGTGGCGTGGGCGGGGCTGTGACGGTGGGTGTGTGCGGGGCTGTGACGGTGGGTGTGGGCGGGGCTGTGACGGTAGGTGTGGGGGGCTGTGCGGGGGGGGCTGTGACGGTGGTGTGTGCGGGGCTGTGGCGGTGGGTGTGGGCGGGGCTGTGGCGGTGGGTGTGGGCGGGGCTGTGGCGGTGGTGTGGGCGGGCTGTGACGGTGGGTGTGGCTGTGGCGGTGGGTGTGTGCGGGGCTGTGACGGTGGGTGTGGGCGGGGCTGTGACGGTAGGTGTGGGCGGGGCTGTGACGGTGGGCGGGGCTGTGACGGTGGGTGTGGGCGGGGCTGTGGCGGTGGGTGTGGGCGGGCTGTGGCGGTGGGTGTGGGCGGGGCTGTGACGGTGGTGTGGCTGTGACGGTGGGTGTGGCTGTGGCGGTGGGTGTGTGCGGGGCTGTGACGGTGGGTGTGGGCGGGGCTGTGACGGTGGCGTGGGCGGGGCTGTGACGGTGGGCGGGGCTGTGGCGGTGGGTGTGGGCGGGGCTGTGACGGTAGGTGTGGGCGGGGCTGTGGCGGTGGGTGTGGGCGGGGCTGTGACGGTGGGTGTGGGCGGGGCTGTGGCGGTGGGTGTGGGCGGGGCTGTGGCGGTGGGTGTGGGCGGGGCTGTGACGGTGGCGTGGGCGGGGCTGTGACGGTGGGCGGGGCTGTGACGGTGGGTGTGGCTGTGACGGTGGGTGTGTGCGGGGCTGTGACGGTGTGATGACGTGCCGTGGGCGGGGCTGTGACGTGCCGTGGGCGGGGCGGGTTTGAAGCAGCGCGGGAAGGAGAGCAGAGGGAGAGCTATGGTGGAGGGCGCGGACTGTGCGCTATACGGAGCGGCGCTGAGAAGCGGAGTGGATGGCGGACAGACGGTGCTCCGTGTGACACACCGCGCGGGAGGGCAGGCGGTGAGTGTCACGGCTGTGGGACTCGGTCCCACCTCACGGGCTGACGGGCCTCACGGGGGATGTGCACACAGATACGCACATACTGATACAGATACACACACAGATACACATATACACACACAAACACACACACACTGTTCGAGAAGGGGAAGGAGTTTCTCGCGGTGTCTGTGGCCAACAGTCCCTCTGATAAGTTTGGTCATTTACTTGGTGGCTGTTTGTGGGAAATTGCTATATGCAGATTGGCTGCTGCATTCGCTTAATAATAATAATAATAATAATCCTTGCATTTGATATAGCGCTTTTCACGTCGGGAGGACGTCCCAAAGCGCTTCACAGAACACACTGTAAAGTGAATTGACTGTATATTTGTGGGCGAACGCGGCAGCCAATTGCACACAGCAATGTCTCACAAACAGTCGTAGATTAAGCTTTATCAGTAAATCCTGTGAAGCGCTTTGAGACCTTTCGGTGTTGATTTCTTGGGGGTCAGTCGGGTGTCTAATACACGTGAAAACTCATCACCTTTGCTTGAGAGTATCCAAACCCAACTGAGAATTCTCTGCATCCCCACCCACCCATGGAAATTCGAGAGATGTTTATCGGTATCGTGTATTTTCTCTCTCCCTGGACTCTGAAATTCGGGAAGTATTAGACGCAGGTGAGCGGGAGCCAAGGCTCGGGGGCGCAGAGTGTGTGTTGGGGTACTGCTAGAATTTAATCAGCTAAAACTGCAAAACTGCATAGCTTACCATTGAGAGCACTGCCTGACCAGCTTTCCCGCTGGGTGTCCAGTACGGACCTCCCTACGCGTTAGGGCTTTGCTTGCAGGGTGGAAGGTGAGTGGGAAGATTCCCTGGTACAGTGATTCCACGAGCAGCAAATTCAAGCGATTCTGACGCCAAATCACATTTTGGTGACCCAAGAACGTGTCTTGAAAGTATACACAGGTAAACTCTTGAGCCCACCTTTTTTACTGTTGTTTCTTAATGTAAACTCGAATGTGCGTATTGACAAGGCTATGGGATACATGCATCCCCAAAGCAGAAAAAGCTGGACGATCCAGTTTTTTTTTCAGAGAAATACATTTTTTTTTACAGATTAACTTTCAGAAAAAAAAATTCAAGGATATATGGTGAAAATCGGTAAAACTGAGTTGAAAGATCTCTATCGTGGCACTTACGTTTTGTATTTGGATGCATAGTACAGCTCAGAAAGAGTTCTTACAGATTATCAATTGCTCCTTTGCACAAAACAAAATGCAAATGACTGTGATGTTGACTTTTTTCAGTGTAATCAAAGTAATGGACAGAAGGTTTCCAATCGGAGTGACATCAGTCTGCTCCAAGGAAAGGTCTACACTGATGTGGAGACATTAGGCAAAGAACTCTTTCTCTATTTTGGCCCAACAGCCTTAAGGTATGGTTCTTGATACTTTTCCTTCTTGTTGATTCCACACCAATGTTTTAGCATCCTTGTGAAGACATAGTCACAAAACTGCACATACTATTTCAGATAGTCTTTCTAGTGATTATATAATGGCAGAATAATTATCTTTTTCTTGCTTATTGTTCTATTTAATGTTCACCTTTACTCTGTTTTGCTACCTGCTTTATTAGTTGAAGTGAGCTCCTTACCGGATTTGGGAAAGGAAGATGTGAAGAGTTGATGCTCCCTTAGCTATTTATAAGTAATTATAATGGTGTTCATCTGCAAACATATCTAGGAAATGTTATGATGCATCTTTGTTCCACAAGGACTATTGAAGTCTTACTGAACATGTATGTACGATTCCAGGATACATTTTGGCATGAATGGCTCCATGCGTATCAATCCATCTGAGAAAACCAACAGAAGTGGAGCAGCAGCTGGTTTGGAGATCCAGCTCAGCAATGATCTGATTTGCTTTTTTGACTCCACAGTAGAAATCAGGTGAGGAATTGTACAAATAACATTTACACTTGATTTCTATTTTAGTTTTTCGTTTTATTTTGCAGAGTTATGCTGCAAGAAACACTAGGCTATTAAGTAAGTAGGATTAATTGTCTAGTAAGGTTAATGAAAGACATAGCCACTGTTATGTTATCTACCCTCTAACTATATACACACAGCTTATTGTACAAATAATAATAATAATAATAATAATCCTTGCATTTGATATAGCGCTTTTCACGTCGAGAGGACATCCCAAAGCGCTTCACAGAACAACTGTAAAGTGAATTGACTGTATATTTGTGGGCGAACGCGGCAGCCAATTGCGCACAGCAGTGTCCCACAAACAGTCGTAGATTGAAAATGACCAATTTATTATTGTTTTGGTTTTTTTTGGAGGGATTATTATTAGGCTCTGTGTGGAGTAAGGAAACTTGCCCAAGGTTTCGCCCTCTGCCTGGAATTGAACTCAGGTCTCTCGCTTGCAAAGCGAGTGCTCTAACCACTGAGCTACAGGAGCACTGATACGTTTCATAACAACAACAACAACAACAAGATTCCATTTATAGAGCGCCTTTCACGTCAGGAGGACGTCCCAAGGCGCTGCACAGTTGGGTCATGACCCGAGCAGGGGGGAAATGGTCAGGGTGAGGGGAGGGAAGGGAGGGAGAGAGGAGGGGAAATGGTCAGGGTGAGGGAGGGAAGGGAGGGAGCGAGGAGGAGGAAGAGAGTCGAGAGGGAGCTGAAGGCACGGTCAAAGAGAAAGGTTTTGAGACCGGCCTTGAAGGAGGAATGGGAGGAAGCGGCGAAGGCACTGGGGGATGGAGTTCCAGAGCCTGGGGGCTGAGAGGCTGAAGGCCCGACCACCGATGGTAGGGCGGTTGGGGCGGGGGACGTGGAGCAGACCGGATAACATTTATCCACCTGGGACCACTACCTGTTCAAGTTTATCTTACACAATTCTACCTCCAATTTCAATCCCTTGGATTCATATGGATCTGCCAGTTGAGTGGCTTTAGAATTGGTTCCATCATAGAAACCCCAATACCTCTTCTCTCCCTCCTTTTTTAGAGTAGGGATCCAGAATGTGGATCCCTGGACTCCACTATTCTTGTTCTCCCCTCCTCCCCCAACAGGTTGCCATATTTATGATTCACCTTTAGTCTCATTTGCCATGTCAGTTTTCAGTCCAGCTCACTGAGTTCTCATTAATTCTATGATTCTAATTTTAAAAACCTCAAGTGTGGATTTTTTAAATGAAAAAATGTACTAACTAAATACTTTGTACCTGTTAATTTAGTCATATTTTTGAAAAATTTCTGTAGGTTGCTTAACTCTTGAATGCATTTACAAGTACTGGGTTCTTTCAATTAATAAAATAGGTACCATTGAGGCATCACTTTTTGTGTTGGTTGTATTAGTAGAAACAACTTCATTGAACCTGACACTAATTTCAGTAATGCTATTTAAATGGATAAATATTGGAGTGATGCACATATATATCTGTTATAGATTAACAAATGTGTTTCTGTTTTCAATTAAAAGCAGATAATTCAACTTTAAGGAACTATATCCCACTCATATCCAGTTTGGATAATATTAGTTCTGAATTACAATTGCGGTATCTGGTTTTTATGACAAGTGGGTGCAGAGCACAATTGGCAGTTGAACCTTCAGTTACTTTGGCCCATCTCTCTAGAACTCCTCCCAAAATTCTGCCTTATCCCTTTCTCTCTACTTTCAAATCTCGTGTGAAGATCTACTTCTTTGACTACACTTTCAGCTCCTCGCTCTCACTGAATTTCTAAAGTGCTTTGAGATGTTCTCCCAGTGCGAAAAACAATAGATTATATAAGTGTGAATTTTTGTTGAAATAGGGAAAAACGTAGAGATAGTAAAACACGAGATGTGTATCTGTTCCGATCAATTGTACCATTTCCTATTGCCTATTAGGAGTGCCTTGGAGTGTAAGCGCAAGGTGAAATTAATGGAAGAACTAGACATTTGTTCTCCAAAGTTCAGTTTCTCCCGAGCAGAGAATGAATTGGGGCAGCATTGTACACGCATGCTCTGTGATGTGCTCTTGGACCAAACTGTATTACCTGGAGTAGGAAACATCATAAAAAACGAATCCTTGTTTGACAGTGGCTTCCATCCAGCTGTTAAGGTAAATCATTCCTGTGTTTCACACTGAACTGTGCGCTGTGTTTAATATTTTTTAGTGGGTGACTGATACATACGGAAACCTATTATCACCCTTAAGAGTATTCAGACTAGATTTCCTCATATAAATGCCAATTATGCATTGAAATTTCTCAGCATCTGGAATGGAGTACGCATTCTCTCCCTGGAGGAACCCACCATGCTTCCGTATTAGGTGCTGGTTGCGAGAGCCAAGACTTTAGAATGTGGGTTGAGGTGCTTCTGAAATTTAACCAGCTCAGATTGTATACTTGTCATTAAAAGCATGTCTGGCGATCTTCCTGATGCTTGTCCAGGTAGGACCAACCTACTAATTAGGGAGGGGTTAACAGGAGCCAAATGGAAATAATCCCAGTACACAGCCTGTCTCTCCATGACCCGCTGATGAGCCAAGATGTTCTGGGCTTTCATCAGCAATGCTTGGAATATTGCAATCCTGCCTGGGTGAGGAATGAGACTACCATGACCACCACTGAAGATTCACCCAATTCTGAGATTTTATTGCCAATTTATCACCCTGGAGTCAGTTTAACCCCAGGAGACCATGTTTGAAGTCCCTTTTCATTACCAGTCAAGCTGTTGGTAGGGAAAGCATTATTTCAAAGTAGCATGTTCTTGATGTTGCAGATCTGCCAGTTATCTGCTGAACAAATACATCATATTGTCAAAATGACTCGCGATTTCACAATCCTCTTTTATAAGGTACGAGTACATTTCTTTAAAATATTTGCAAAAATAAGCTAATCGAGGTTTATAAATGAATAGCTCACTATTGTTGATGTTTGAATGCCCTTTGCTCTGATAATTATAGAACTCAATGTATACCCATGAGTCGCTTAATATTATTGTTACCTATTAATTGCGCATAAAAAGGACATGAATATTCTGTGGCATATGTTGGATGTGTAACTTACACTTGGGAGATGCACAATATCATCCTCGGACAACTTACAATGTGCTTTTTGCCTTAATATTATCTGAAGGGAAACTCTTTAGCATTATTCCTGTGCACCTCAAGGAGTATGTTGAGATTGTTGGCAAAACCAATCATTAATTTGCATTTGCTCAACTCTCCTACCGAGATTCAGCATCTCACTGGCCTAAACAACCCAGAGCTCCTCCCCCAGAGGGCTATCTGAACAGCTCAGTATGTTGTATTAAAAGTAGCTATGGCACATGTACATATGTGGTAAATATTGTATGAAATTCCAGGTCATGACTCATGAGTAACTAGAAACGGTAGAATTGTTCAGATATTGTAGTCTTGAGACAAAAATAATGTAATGTATATATGTGTAGCTGCCTTAGAGTTGTAATATTTTTCCTGTTTTATATCTTGGAACTAGATATATGTTTATTGCCTAAATCCAATATGCATGTATAATGTTAATTTATAAATTGAATATTGGTTGTTTCTTCCACTTTTTAGTGTCGTAAGACAGGATCAGCCTTGTATAAGCATTACAAAGTTTACAAGCGATCTACATGTGGACAGTGTAAAGGTCAAATAACTGTCTGCCGCCTAGGTGAGAACAGCCGGATGACTTATTTCTGCTCATTTTGTCAGAAGGAGGATCTGTCGCAGGTTGATATCAGGTAGAGCATAGCTGTCAATCTATTGTAAACATTGTAAACTATTTATGCAAGGCAAATATTTATATCGTTGAAGATGGCCAGGCAATGCAGACTGGAATAGTTTTTCAAATGTTTGACTCATTTTATTTTTTTTCTGTGGAGTTCAGTAAATAGTCGGTCACATACTTTCTTTAAAAAAAGATTAGTGTCCAATTACATTTCTAATTTTCACCCTCTGGCATATGCTTCTCTATTCCCGATTGACCTCCTCTTACTTGGGTACCGGTTGCCCTCCTGTAATCTACCAAGTGCCCATTGTTCACGTGTGAATCTTGGCGGTGATGGTCAACAAGCAACACAACCCTAGAAAACGTCACATAGCCAAGCCTGACCTCTCCCTACCTGGATGCTACTCACCTGTACAATCTGCGAGCTCCTGGTCTGTAAGCTGCAGCCCTATTTGCTACACCATCAGAGATGGCCCATAAAACATGAGACGACTTGGTGATTTTTTTTGCTGTGTGTCTTTTAACTGTATTTCTCTCTCCTTAAACTAGGATTCTTAAGATTTAAAAAGAGATGTCAATTTTCCAATAATTTTGAAGTCCATCATATTTTAACTTGTTTCTAAAATATTTGCTGTCAGCGGAGTTTAAAAAAAAAACTCAGAAATAGAAATAAAAACTAGTATTTTTAATATCTTTCATATCTGTCTTTTTTTCCTACAGCAGTTTGCCTAGAAGAAATAGTCTATTAGGATGGGTGTCTAGTACTGGAAGCTATTCTGCTGACAACATCGCCAAAAAAGAGGAAGAAGAATGGACATGTGCACTTTGCACATTGGTAAACATGGCTTCAGTCAAGTCATGTGAAGCCTGCTTGTCACCAAGGCCTGTCAGTAAGTAGTCTGCCACGTAAACGTGCTACAAAGGATGACTAAAATAATTTTAGTACAGTAGTTGCTTAATATCCAGACGAATGGGAACTCAATACTCTAGATGTCCAGTAACCATCCTCATGGGAGCTAACCTGTTTGTGAAAAGATGCAGCTATCGGTAGTCAACCCTCAGATATAATCGGGTTAGGATGAGTTCAAACATTTTACCTGGTATAATAATCTACTTTCCTTGCTCTCACTGTTATTGCCCATTTCCCCTTTTTGCTTGATCATATTACTGACTTTTTCGATTGCAGTGTCACTCAGCAGGTCCTGACGTGGGAGGAGCTATGGCTGCTGCAGAGCAATAAATTCATTTTCCCCCAGCCTCGTTCTAACTCAAGATGCCTTCCTGCTTTTGTACTCGTACATTTCTGTACCTCCTGCCTACTCCTTCCTCTCTGCAACTGCTTGTTCCATGTCCCTTCGATTTTCATCACATCATTGGTCGCCAAACCTGTAGCCTCTTTGCCCTTGCCTTGGGTAATCCTGTAAATTACTGATGTAATTATGAAGCATCTCCACTACTCTGCAGTGACTGAGTCTCTGTAACTGAGAAAATGGAACGTTAAATTTCTGTCTTGACAAGACTGAAGCTACCCACGATAAATTAATCGTGTTCATAAAGTGACTGTTTTTATTTCTGCAGCTTTTACACAGAAAGCCCCACATCAAACTTCTGGTTTTAATAATGATCTCATAAAATACCCATGCAATGGATTTGGAAAGCCCCAAGTAGAACTCAAGCTGAATCGGAAGACAGTTTTTGGTACTACTACATTGGTTCTGTCGTCATTGAATGGTAATGTTACTTCACCTGCCAATCCTAACTCTACTTTCTCAGCGTTTGGTAAATTGAAAAGTAACAAGCCATCATTCAGTAGCGATACTTCATATCAGACTCTCTCTTTATCTGAGAAATGTTTTAAAAATGAACAGAGCCTTTGGGAAAATGCTTCTTTTAGTAGTTTTGCAAATGAAACTATCCACAATTCACCATTCAGTTGTATCGACCAAGGTTCATTTCATCAGCATGGCAAAAGAATGAAAACCAATCACGATTCAATTTTAACTTCAAATACCAGGACTACAGATTCTAATTTCAGGTGAGTCCCCACCTATATTTCTTGAAAGTTGGATTTTAGTTTTAAAAATAACATTAGAATTGTTTTGTGATCTTCATTCCTTTGGGCATACCTATGCTGCGTTGTCAGAGATGCTGTCCTTCAGCTGAAACATTAAACCAAGATGCTGTCTGCCTGTTCAGTTGGATGTTGGATTCCATGACACTGTTCGAAAAGAGGAGGGAGTTTTTCTCCTGGCGTCCTGGGCAACAATCCCCCAGATATAGGTTTTGGAACGTTGCTGTGCGCAAAGTAAAAACAGCTATTGACCTAGGGAGGATAAGAACAAAAGATTAAAAGCAGTATATTTTAATGTAGATATTCCCTGGCTTTTTTTATTTAAGAAAATTATGTTCATGGAATTTAAGACATGCATGACATCTATGTCAAAAGTAGCTTAATTGACATTATACGTAGTCAATTATATACGTTTATGCAAAACTTTGAAATGCTTTGAGTTGTTTGACATGATAAGTGTTAAGCTGTTCTATTGTTGCAAAGGTTTTATAGTAACTTTATTTCCTTTACACAGGGTGTCTTGTACTAATATAAATGATGGAACTGATGCTTTAAACCCTAAAATCCCATATTGCACTAAACATTTTCGCTCTTGCTCGCTGAGAGTGGTTAAGAAAGAAGGTGCCAACAAGGGGAGATGCTTCTATGCATGTTCCTTACCTCAGGGAATTCAGTGTGACTTCTTTCAAGTAAGAATTTAGAAATATTTCTTTTAAATTTCAGTGGGTTAGACAAATAGAATTATACCTGTGAAACAAATGATAGAAACATGCTGACAATGACCCACTTTCTTACAATAATGTAGACAAAGTACTGTGTAACAAAAACATAATAAGCCTTCCTGACATTCCTAATGATTATAAAAGTGTCAGTTGGGCGCTATGTAAATGCAAGTTGTTGTTCAGTGGCAACGCTGAAGTATTATAAGCAGAGGTGGTGAAATCTATATAATGCAGATTGTATTTATGTAGAAAATGCTTATTACACTGAATGGTCTGAAGAGGGCAGTTCAACATCATCAAAATCCTGAAATTGAGGAAGTTCAGTATTTGAAAATCCTGCAGCTCCTGTCCATCCCAGGTTTCTTTTTGCAATTTATGCTTGACAATAGCTGGTCAGTGTACTATCAAATTCAACTACAGTGGACAGTCATTATAAGGCAATAGTTTGTGATGCTTAAAATCCCAACCCGCATTATAATGAAGCCCTGAGAGCCAGTTTCACTGCGCATGTCACACAACCATATCACTTCATGCACATCGCCTGACTCCCACACTTAAAAAACTGACTTCTAGGTCCTTAGGTTGCCGCTGATGCCCATTTCTCTATACTCATGTATAATGAAGGAAATGACCGGCAAGCACCAGCATACAAACAATGAGCTGAATGGCCTCCCCACATGCTATAAACAATTCTACAGTTTCCAACTGACAAAACTGTTTTATTGGGAGGTGGAAATACAAGTTGTAGTTAACCAAGTCTATCGTGGAGCTTTCGTGATCACTTTTCCTTCCAACAGGTGGCAGTTACATTTTTAACTACTAACCACTTGTATTTGTCCCTCCCTCCCCTCCTTCAAAAATCATCTTAATACATATCTCTTCAACCATGCTCGCAGGCTCCCACAGGTCCCTTAAGTTCAACCTCCCAGTCAGCTGTGTGAATATGCACTTTGAAGCACTTTCTGACATGAAAGGTGCTACATAAATGTAAACTGTTGGTTTAAAATACAGTTTGTAAGTATTTTTAAATCTTTTTTTCCCAGTGGACTGACTTGGATTTTCCATTCTGTAATCATGGAAAACGCTGCATTATGAGGACAGTTCTGAAGCTTGGGCCAAATAATGGACGTAACTTTTATGTTTGTTCTGAAGGAATGAACAAACAGTGTAACTTCTTCAAGTGGGTGTAACATGGATCAAGATTTAACTGACTGTGAAACAGAGAGAAACCTTTAAGACATTGTTGTATATCTGCAGGAATCTCTGGAAAATAGGTAAAATTCTAAAGCAGAAATTACTTACAGTTGAATTTATTTTGTAGTTTTTTTATTGAATCCCACTTGAGCTTGGTTGTTAGTACATTTGCCTGTTACAAGGTTGATGGGTTGAAGTCCCTCATTGGGAATTTGAATTCACAGTCTAGATGAACACTCCAATGTATTACTGGGGAACGACGAGATGTTAAACTGAGTTCCTGCCGGCGTGTTCAGATAGGTGTTAAAAATCCTATGAAAAAAGAAGGGAGTGTATTCAACCCCTTAGATAGATGGGAGGTGATTTGGTGTGGGAAGAACTGGGACTCCCACTGCATTGTGCTATAAACTGGAGGAAAGAACCTGTCAAACTTTCCTCCAGTTTAATTGGATATTCACTTCATGGTTACTTGCAAAACATTACCAGCACAAATGGGTATTATGATGGCCTACAATATAATTACACTTGGCAGTAATTTCAGACATTTCAAACTCTTTTAGAGACATACTGATTATCTGCACTAATTGGAACTGACCCTATTTGTGGTTAACAAACAGTGTGGATAATTGGACATCATCCAAAGTACAAATTGCCTTCAGTGATAAAACAATTGTTCCATTAGGAGTTATATGATACAATAGTGCCACGTGTGCCAGCTTTTGCCTGACTTTTTCTAAATCTCTTTATTTGCTTCTCATTTTTCCTCAATATCCTTCTAACTTTAACCCTATAAAAGTACTGGGTAAGACTCAGATTTGCACTGTTTATTTCTGACACGTTTGCAGCCCATGTCCGATGTCTGCTTCTGAGGCCCATGTGGATATAGATGGGAGGTGATTTGGTGTAGGGATAACTGGACTACTCGAATGTGCTATAAAAATCCAAAATCTTTCCTTCTTACTATTTGTCCTTGACCTGGGTAGATCATGTCTTTAAAACATCTTTATTTTATCCCTTGTTTGTCCCTTTATTTAGACCGAACCTAGGAAAAGATTTTAAAAAAGGAGAATAGTGAATTTATAGCATACAAGCCTTCAAATGGAGGGGTGGATGGAGGAAAACTCTTTTAATAATTAGAATGATGTTACTTTTTATGTGCTAATCCGGTATGCTATTTTCTGGTCTTTGAAGAAGACATGTTGGGTTCAATCTTTTTCAATCTCATTTAAATGTTTATTTTTAAAAGTAGTAAACTTCCTTGTTCCCTTATCTTCACTATTTGTGATTAGTTAGCTTGAATACTGTATAGACGACTTGCTGTATTCCTTGTTTTATTTTTTACTGAATTTTCTTTTTGATAATTATCAATAAACTTTCAGATTTTTATACTCTATATATAATCGTGGTGATTTTGTGTAAATACCTTAGAATAATAATAATCCTTGCATTTGACATAGAGCTTTTCACGTCTTCTAGATGTCCCAAAACACTTCACAGTAGATACTGTAAAGTGAATTGACTATATTTGTGGGTGAAATGTGGCAGCCAATTGCGCACAACAGTGTTCCACAAACAGCCGTGGATTGAAGTGACCAATTTTTTTTTGAGGGATTATTATCAGGCGTGTGGAGTAAGGAAACTTGCCCAAGGTTTCGCCCTGCCAGGAATTGAACCCAGGTCTCTCGCTTGCAAGGCAAGTGCTCTAACCACTGAGCTACAGACCACGACAATCTTATTTACTATCTTAAGACATATTGATCACAAATCTGGATGAAGAAGGCCCTTTGGCCATTCAGTCTCATTATTCCAGAACACCCATCTTATCGTTCCCTTATCACTGCATCAAACTACTTTTTAAATGAGAGTAGTGGCCTGGTCTTGACAACCTTTTACAGTCATTGATTAGTCTGCATAAAGAAAAACTTCCTGCGGTCAGACATGAAATTGTTCTTTACAACTCCAAAGTAATGTCTTGTTCTACTGTCTATCTTGTCCTAAAGTATTGATCTGGGTTTACTTTTTCAATCTCATTTAAAATTGTGTACACCTCCACAAGGTCCCCTCTACGTTGTCTTCTCTCAAGATTGAAGAGCCCTAGCTTATCTAATCATTTCTCATAGCTCTTTCCTCTAACACTGGGGATCATTTTGTTGTTCTCTGCTCTGTGTCTAGGGCTTTGGCAGCCCTCTGATGTCATGGTGAACCTGAACTGTATGCAGTATTCAAGGTGCGGTCTGAGCAGAGGACTGTACAGCCTGAGAATGATATTTGGGAATCTAAACTCAAATGATAATAATAATAATAATTCTTGCATTTGATGTAGTAGCACCTTATCATGTCAAGAAATCGCAATGCGCTTCACAAGATATCTGTAAAGTAGATTGACCATATTTTGTGGGGTAAATTATCTAGCAATATAGCCCAATAACCCTATTTGCATTGTTTATTGCTGCTTCACACTGCTTTGACATGGTCAGTGACGAGACAACTAACAGCCCTAGATCTTTCATCTTCCCCTTTGGTAAGTAAAGTCCCTTCAATTGAGTACTTGTCATTCCTATTCTTGGATCCTATCTGTAGTATCTTGCATTTATCAATATTAAACTTAATTTGCCAGTTATCAAGCCATGTTCATAACTTAAATTCTCTTTGTAGGATAATTGCTGCCTCCTCTGATTCCACAGTTCACCCCCACCCCACCAACTTGGTGTCATCTGCAATTGTAACAACCTTACACTGGGTCTGCAAATCCCATTTATATGAGCAACAGACTAATACAGACCTCTGAGGCATCCCACTTAATACCTCTTCCCCATTTTGACCCAGCTCCCCTGACAAAGACTCTGTTTCCTTGCCTTCATCCAATACTGAATTCATATCCATGTCTTGACCCTCGATGGCCAGTGAATACAGGAATCTTTCATGTGGTACTTTGTTAAAACAGCTTTTGGAACTCAATGTATTATGTTACATGGCTTCACTAAGTCAATTTAGGTTGTCATCTACAAAAAGTCTGAGGTTGGTCAGACAATACCCATGCTTTCCTAACTTGTGTTGGCTGTCAATTGTTAGGCTATTTTTATATAGGTAATCTTCCACCTCCTTTCTGATGATTGCCTCCATAATGTTTACTACTATTGTGATGAGGCGAGTTGCTGGGTTTTGGTTTGCCGCCCTTCTTGAATACGAGGACAACATCTGCTTACCTCCATCTGCTGGAACCTCCCCAATCCTGATTGACTCCCTCATACTAGTACTGAGCAAGCCTTCTGCCTTGTCTCTCCAAGAACCCTGGGGTACAGTTCAACACCCCAGGGGATTTATAATAATATTAATCCTTGTACTTGATATAACACATTATCACGTCTTTGAGATGTCTCAAAGCGCTTCACAGAATAAACTGTTAAGTGAATTGATTGTATATTTTGTGGGCGAAATGCAGCAGCCAATTGTTGCACAGTGACCAAATTATTTTTTTTGGAGGGATTATTACCCCGGGAAAAGCGATTCTCCAATTGACTAACAACCGAGTACCTACTTATTGCAAGGTAAACAGAGGCGTGTGGAGTAAGGAAACTTGCCTAACATTTCGCCCTGCCGGGAACCAAACCCAGGTCTCTTGCTTGCGAGTGCTCGAACCACCAAGCTGCAGGACTCCCCGATTTGTTAGTTTTATGCCCCTTGAGCCTAACCAAATGTCTGGTTCATTTAAGGTTACAATCCTGGAGTTCAAACTATGTTTGCTGGCTGTTACGGAACATGTGTTTAGTCCAAACATATTGATAATAATAATCTTTGCATTTGATATAGCGTTTTTCATGTCTTCCAGACGTCTCAAAGCGCTTCACATAATAATAATAATCCTTGCATTTGATATAGCGCTTTTCACGTCAGCAGGACGTCCCAAAGCGCTTCACAGAACACACTGTAAAGTGAATTGACTGTATATTTATGGGGGAACGCGGCAGCCAATTGCGCACAGCAATGTCCCACAAACAGTCGTAGATTGAAAATGACCAATTTATTATTGTTTTGGGTTTTGGAGGGATTATTATTAGGCTCTGTGTGGAGTAAGAAACTTGCCTAAGGTTTCGCCCTGTGCCTGGAATTGAACTCAGATCTCTCGCTTGCAAAGCGAGTGCTCTAACCACTGAGTGCTCTAACCACTGAGCTACAGGACTCCAGAATATACTGTAAAGTGAATTGACTATATTTGTGGGTGAAACGCGGCAGCCAATTGCACACAGCAATGTCCCACAAACAGTCGTGGATTGAAGTGACCAATTTATTATTTTTTTCATGAGGGATTATTATTAGGCGTGTGGAGTAAGGAAATTTGCCCAAGGCTTCGCATGCCGGGAATCAAACCCATGATGATGTCTATGTACAAACCCTTTCTTTACAACTCCCCATTGTATGTGCTCTCCAGTCTTGTTGAATGAGCGCTTGGGTCATTAACAAGTTATCATAAATTTGCTTTTTTTTGATCACTCAATCTGTGTCCGTAAATTAATAAGGAAAGGCCAGTCCGTGTTTCCCTTTTCCTACCCCCTCCACAGTGATAAGATCAGGTACCCGCAGTTTTCCCATTAATCCACACTTCAATCAATTGACAGGACAAAACGTTGTCTGGAATTGATTCAATTTAATTTCCTAGGGGTTTGGAGACACAAATTTTGACTTTTCAGTTTTTAAGGTTGAACCACTTTTTGTTGTTCCAATCTCTTCATAAAATAATGTCTTCTGGTGGTTACCTAGTATCAATATCTCACAGGACTGAAGGATTAACTGGTTTCTGCAAATATCTAACATTCATAAAAATATGCAAAAGTAAATATGCTGTAAAGAAACTTCTGAAGCTTTACAATATAGTTTGCATGTGCTTGTCAAATAGATAGACTACACCTCATGTTTCAAGTCAAATTACAAACATTCATATTCTATATTGAATTCAGAAGATTACAGCATAATTTTATTCATTAAATTCATAATGAGTGTAAACAGTTTAAATTTCACAAGCCATTTATAAGCTATGAAAATGTCAGTAGTTTCAAATGCAGTCAACCATATGTTCTGAAGCTTCATTTAGTGCAGGACTCTGAACCATGAAGTGAAATTGATTAAATCCTGGAGTTTTACTGCATGCAGCACCTAAAAGAAAAAAAAATTCAAGGATTACATAACAAGTATCTGTATAAATGTTTTTCAAACCAGCTCGTTAATAGTCTTTTTCTTATTTTCTAATGGTTCCAAATTAGAATGAATGTTTTTTTGACCTCCAGGACATTTAATACAACTTATTGGAGATTTTTCATTGATTTTAAAAAATGAATAGGTAGTGCTGTCAGTTTGTAAGCAGAATGGCTCCCCCTGGTACACATAATAATAATAATAACCCTTAGATTTGATATAGCATATTTCACATTGGGAGGATGTCTTAAAGCACTTCACAGAATATACTGTTCAGTGTAGTGACTACAGGTGAACGAAAACGTACTGACTAGAGACTTCTCACATTTCACCCACAAAATATGCAGCCAATTCACCTTTACAGTATATTCTGTGAAGCGCTTTGAGATGTCTCAAAGACATGATAAGGCGCTTTATCAAATGCAAGGATTATTATTAATAAATAATAATAATCCTTGCATTTGAAATAGCGCTTTTCACGTCGGGAGGACGTCCCAAAGCGCTTCACAGAACACACTGTAAAGTGAATTGACTGTATTTGTGGACGAACGCGGCAGCCAATTGCACACAGCAATGTCCCACAAACAGTCGTAGATTGAAAATGACCAATTTATTATTGTTTTTGGTTTTGATGGGAATATTATTAGGCGTGTGGAGTAAGGAAACTTGCCCAAGGTTTCGCCCTGCCTGGAATTGAACTCAGGTCTCTCACTTGCAAAGCGAGTGTTCTAACCACTGAGCTACAGGACTCCCTTTCAAGTGTTTTTCTTTGACCTTTTTGAAACACTTTCATACTTGTACAGGTATTACATTTATTCTGTTTCAAGACCTGATGAAATCAATAATAAATGCAAGTGATGTTAAAGATCTGATGTTAAAGATCAGAAAATGTCCTTCAAAAAAGTGAATCTGTTAAGCCTAATAAAACTTTGTATTGATTTTTAATGCTTCTTTCACCACAGTTAATAATTTGAGAAAGTGGAAAGCTCAACGAGTCAACGATCTTGAGTCTACTTGACAAAACTGTTTTGAAGGTGCATAAATTTGAACCTTGATCCTTTACTCAGTCTGACCTTTATTAGTGGGAAGCTGGGTGCATGTAGAAACCTATTAACCATGCTTAAGAGCATCAAAACCAGGGAGAATTCCATACATGCCACCTACACATGGAAAATCTGGTATTTGGAATGCAATGCACCCTCTCTCCCTGGAGGGACGTATACTGCTTACCAATCCGGAGAATATTAGGCACAGATTGGCAAGAGCCAAAGCTTGGGGAACCAGGGAGTTTGCACTGGGGTACTAACCAGCTAAAGCCACCTAGCTTACCAGTAAAAGCTCTGTCTGAAAGCTTTCTGCTGTTGTCCAGCTAGGACCACCCTATTTGTTGGGGCTTTTTCTTGCAGGTTTACAGGAGCCGAGTGGGAAAAATCACTGCCTCCAATGATCCAATAGAGTCTGCCCCTCCGAGTCCTACCGATGAGCCAGGCTGGCTGGTATGTCATCAGCAGTGTGCTGCATTACTCTGGACGAGTCTGTATCAAGAACTGGATGGACTACCAGGACTGCCACAGGATTCACTTGATTCCATTGTCACGCATGTTTTGTTGAAGCCAATTCATCTCCAAGGAAAATCTGTTTACCTTCCATCTCCTCCCCCACCCCCCATCCCATCAATAGGAAGCAGACAATCACTACGAACTGTTGACGCTCAATTTCCCTGCACAGACCTTCCCTCAAGTGAAATCACCCGAGATTTTTTATTAATTGAGAAATGTCATGTACAAGACACATATTGGTACCATATTGGTCATCCTACTACAAATAGTAATTCTTTTCAAAAGTAAAAGGTGAGACTTCTTTTATTCTGATTAACATTTTAAACTGTTTTTAGCATTTCTTTGGATCCATTTCTCCTGGAGTCTTAAACATGGTTCATGCAAGTTATCTTTGTGACAAGCAATTGAAGCCATTCCATGCTATATTATAATTCAGAATGATATGGAGGTATGCGGAACAATCTTAAATAAATAATGTGCTGAGGTTCCAGATTGCTAAAAAAAAGCAATTTCATATCTGAATTTATAAGTATGCAGGTTTATACTACACATACCACTGTGGTGTCAGCCTGGTTTAGTTGGTAGCACCCTTGCTGTGAATCAAATGTTTATAAGGGATTTTGACCTTATGGTCCAAACTGATATTCTAATGAAGTGCTGTAGGAAAACCTGGTTGTTAAATTTATCTGGTTGTTATGCCAATCCCGAAAATACATTCAATACCTGGTTCTAGCTTTTTTTCTCTTCCAGTTCTAATGCATCTAACTAAATTGGTAAAGAACCAAGTATTTCAACTCTACGAGATAATATGTTCATTAGTGTCATGCTTTTTATGGGCTAGCATTAAATAAAAATAATTTGCTCTATTAGTGCCCATTTTGGCTTCATCAAACAAGGGGTTTCCATCACAATGTGATCACAATTTCAATTTGTAAACTAGATGACCATGTCCATGAAGTACATTACTTATTTAACGCTGCATAAATAAATGTCAGTGCTGCAACTAGATTTATTTACCATTAATAGTACAAGTACCAGAAAAATAGCAGAATCCATCATGCTTAAATGTTATATCAATACACTTTGTGGGTGATAATTCTTTGCCTTAAATTGTTCCCTTACCACCATGCCTAGTACTTAGTGGCCCCAAACGTGACATGCCTGGCAACGGATGTCAGAATCAAGCTAGCCCTCTATGGCAGTCTCGATAGTCTGGTTCCTGAAGTGCAGATCAGTCACTGGGAACAGGGACTCATCCCACTCAGCTCCTGTTAACCCTGCAAACCAAAGCCCTATTGGGCAGAGTGGTCCTAGCTGGACAAGTAGCAGGAAAGCTTGCCAATTTCAATGGCAAGCTATGTGGTTTTAACTGGATAAAGACTCCAGGAGTACCCCCAACACACTCTGGCCTTGTGTAGGTGGAAGCATGGAATTCTCAGTTTGGTTTGGAAGCATGGTGATGGGTTTCTGCATGTGTCAAACACCCGGCTGACCAAAAAAAACCTAGAAGTGTAGCTCAAAGTGTTATGTCCAGATGTAACCACCCAGCTTTGATAGGAATACAATTAAATTAGTAGAGTGTTTTTCTCACAAAATGGGCATAGGATTAACAGATTGACACCATTAAGCTTGACTGAAGTCCTAGTGAATTAAATTGCCATGGAGTTTTGGTGCTCCATTTCCCTTTGCACTTTGGATATTTAGACTGTGTATGAAAGGTGTTTCTATATGCGCAGAACACAATTAGGAATTTATGGCATTACTACTGCCGATAGAAGTCATCGCATAATTATACTGCTCTTTGAAATATAGAATGTCCACAGCCCAGCAGGGGGCGATTTGACTATACTGAAAACTTACTTAAGCAATATGTATATACACATATATTTATATCAGCAGTAGTCATTTATTGAAACTTTATAAGGGACAATTGGATGATACAATTCGGGTAAGATATATCAAGGTCAAAGCTTGTCCTGTAGAATCTGCAAGTTATCAAATTAGTTTCTAACTCCAGAATTCTATATTCCTGTTTCTCTATATAAAACATTATATTTTCCTAAAATTTTCATTCGAAAGAAAAATAAGTCATACAATATGATGACCCTCTGCATCTATTCTGCAGAGTAGTCTTTCAGGCTTATTAAAATGCTGAGCTTTTGTAAAAGCCCTTCCAAGCAATGTCATCTTTCAACCTTCTAATCTAATCTTTGCACTTGGGCATTTCAAAGTAGATGGCATACCAGTGTCAGTGGAATACAGCTATTCTCAACAATTTCCACTGCAAACAAAAAATACACTTGCGTTGCTTAGAAATGACACAATTGAAGCATGACGTTTGCAGACATCATAACTTGACTGTAACGCGCTTGTTCACAGCTCAAACAGCAAACCTTAGCTATACCTGCAGTAAAATATACTAGTGATTCAGTGATGTAGCAAAGACCACTGCTAGTTAGAAAGACTGGCCATCAGGAATCAAGTCGTGAATGAGCAGTAACTTTCTCCAACTTTAATGCTAATAAAACTGAGGCTATCCTCAGCTTCTGTCAGTAACCCCTCACCTCAGATGCTAACTATGTCAATCTCCTTGGTTTCTCACTTCAACTGATGGAGCCTGTATAGAACCTCAATGTTTTGTTCGAGTCTCAACCAGTTGTACCTTTTAGCTGGCTCTGACCGATTCTGATTTCTTCCATCTCTGCAACATCACTGCCCTCCAGCACTACCTCCCCACCAAAACAGCCCTGAAAACCTCATCCAAGCCTTTGTCACCTCCAGACTCAATTTTCTAATGCCCTGCTTGCCGGAGCCCAAGCTCCATCTACCCCAAGTTCCAGAACTTCACAGCCCACATCCTCTCTCATACTTAAGATCCTCAAAACTTTCACCCCCATCCACACCTGACTTGCTATCCCTCAGCGATTAACTTCAAGATCCTCATTATTACTTACAAATGCTTCCATGACCTTGCCCCATCATATCTCTGCAGCCCTAATCCCACAACCACTTCTTCCACTCTGCCAACTCTGGCTTGCTGTATGCCATCCACCTGCTCAGTCTCACCATTGACAGACAAACTTTCACCCATTTTGCTCTGTCCCTTCAACTCTCTTCCTTGCATTACAAGGGTTTTATGCTTGCGATCTCTTGCTATTTATTATACAGCTTTGTTTCTCTCTGAAGGAAACTATTTCACATGAACCGTACCTACATAGGTTTTATTCCAAAAACTCACCATAACTCCCAGTTCTGTTGACACATACAAGTGCGCCAAAAAACTTTGGATAATACACTTGAATTCTTGTAACAGCCTTCTGGCAAGATATGGTTGGATCAAGCCCCATTCTCATGTATTCCACTGCCTGGTAGCTAGATTGAGAGACAAACAAAAACATGTAAGATTAAGTTAGCGCCCCACATCCAAAATATACTTTAATAAAACAAGTCATACAAGAAAAATACCTTTGTACTGTATTTAAATAAAGGCACCTCCACCCATTACCTGAAGGTGTAAAACTGTTCACTAGAGGGTGCTATTGTTCCAAAAAGTTTCCCCAGCATTTCTGTGATTTGCTGTCAAACATGGTTTGCAGAAAAAAAATCCTATATAAGTATTAAACAGGTCTTTCGATTTAATTTAGTAAGGTCTCATTCATGCGCTTTTTCTCTCAGGCTCTCATGGGTGGGCATATAAGAAGGCTAGTACATTCCGCTACCCTGTAATACTACTGTGATAACCACAATAGCATGCAATGGTATGAATATTTGAGTTTCAAACTAAAAATAACTTGTTCCAGTTGGAAGGAACCAGATTTTTTTAAAAAAAACTTTTATTTTCCTCTTCCAAACAATGCACCATTCCTTGGCTGTGAAGGCAGGTTGATGACCTGCCCCAGGTCTCTGACATTGCTTTTCAAACCAACTATGAGGTATATGTGTTATATCAATTTAGGGTAGCACAAATTTCAATATTTCCATCCCTGCTGAAATATGCCTCACAGCACCTCATCTGACTGCAGGATTGAAATTCAGAAATTAACAAGCGACAAACTCAAGCAAACCAATCTCGTAGGATTCTTTCGTGCACAACAGTTCACCGCAATTTCACACAAACCCTGAGCGTCCATGTGATAGCTAAACCACAAACCTTTGTTCACATCATTATTTCACGAGAAGGCGTGAAAAGCGCTATATCAAATGCAAGGATTATTTATTTATTTATTTATCACTGGGTGGAAATGTAACCCAGTAACCTTAACAGCAGTCATTAAATTAACCCATCGTTGTTGCCCAAATTCATATCAGAAATCAGGGCTGCTTAGTTCATAGAATTATACAGCACAGAAGGAGGCCATTTGGACCATCGTGTCTGTGCCGGCTCTGTGAAAAGAGCAGTCCAAAGCAAACCCACTCCCCCGCTCTCTCCCCATAGCCCTGAAAACTTGTCCTCCCCAAATAATTATCTACTTTTCTTTTAAAAGTTGTTACCGAATCGGTTTCCACCACTCTTTCAGACAATGCATTCCAGATCCGACCAACTCACTGTGTGAAAACATTTCTCCTCACCTCCCCTCTGTTTCCTTTAACAACTATGTTAAATCGGTGCTATCGGGTTACCGACCCACCCGCCAGTGGAAATAGTTTCTCCTTGTTCACCCTATTGAATCCCCTCATAATTTTGAAAACTTCTATTAAGTCTCCTCTTACCTTCTCTGCTCCAAGGAGAATAATCCCAGCTTCTCCAGCATCTCCTCATAACTGAAGTCCTTAATTCCTGGTAAATCTCCTTTGTACCCTCCAATGCCTTGACATCCTTCCTAAAGTGTGGTGCCCAGAACTGAACACAGTCTCTGGCTGAGGCCTCAGCAGTGTTTTATAAAGGTTCATCATAACTTCCTGACTTTTGTATTCTATGTTCCTATTTATAAAGACTAGTATCCCATATGCTTTTTTAACAGCTTTATCTACCTGTCCTGCCACCTTCAAAGATTTACTTATATGAACCCCCAGGTCTCTCTGTTCTTTCACCCCCTTTAAGATTCTACCATCAGCTTATATTGCCTCTCCTCATTCTTCCTCCCAAAATACAACACTTCGCATTTATCCACATTGAACCTCATCTGCCAATTTTAACAGTCTGTCTATGTCCTCTTGCAGTCTGCTACTTCCTCCTCACTGTTTACTACTTTTCCTAGCTTAGTATCATCTGCAAACTTGGAAATTGTACTCCCTATACCCAAGTCCAGGTCATTTATATAGATCAAAAACAGCAGTGGTCGCAATACTGACCCCTGGGGGACACCACTTCACACTTCCCTCCAGTCAGAAAAACAACCGTTCCCCAACACTCTCTGCTTTCTGTCTACCAAGAAGTTCTGTATCCATGCTGCCACTGTCTCTTTAATACCGTGGGCTTTTATTTTGCTTACAAGTCTCTTATGTGGCACTTTATCAAATGACTTTTGAAAATCCATGTGAACTACATCTACTGCACTATCTTCATCCACCCTCTCTGTTTCTTCATCAAAAAAGCTCTATTAAGTTTCTTAGACATGATTTACCTTTAACAAATCCGTGTTGGATGTCCTTTATTATCCCATATTTTTCTAAGTGAAAATTTATTTTGTCCCGGATTACAGTCTCTAGAAGTTTCTCCACTACTGACTGTAGTTCACAGGTTTATCTTTCTGTCCCTGGGCTTTGGATTTTCTTGAACACCTATCATTCCTCCAAATACTGGGACTTTGATGTTCTGATCTATTAGTGGCTAACAGGTTTAAAACACATCCTCCACTAAAATACTTATTTGGTAAGACAACGCACCTCGGAAGAAATCTCATCATGATATCACCGTCTCCAGTAGCAGCTGCACCTCCAGCTGTGCTATCAGCATAAGCACCTGCTCCAACTATTGGTGAATCCCCTACACGGCTGGAAGATTAAAGTCACTTCAGATAAGAAACACAAATAAAACAGCCAAGGTTAAGTTGCATTACATTTTTAACAAATATACAAATATCTCATCTCTAGAGTATATTTATTTACCTCAATAGCTTATATTTCTTTTCCCACTGTTCAGTATATTTACTCGACTTGCAAGCCACTCGCTGATAAAGGGAAAATCTTTTCTAAGAACATGCTGCCTAGGTTTGTAAATAATAAGAGATGGTAAACCATTACATTTCATTATAGCACAGTGAGTGGCTAATAAATTGTTATGTTGCACTGTGGAAAATCAGAAAGTCCTGATATCAGTGGGATTGTTTGGGATAAGTGATAAATGGAGACAGGAACTTACGGAACGAGCAGTTTTTATTAAAAAGCAGAAGGAATTGCCAAGATAGTTTGATAAAAGGGCACAAATTCAGGGGTGTGAAAGGCACTTTTGGGACCTACACCAGAAACTATTTCTTTCCCAGCGACTGGAATTCAATACCAGCTGAATTTTATCCATCGTCTCATGTAAGTTAGACCTTTGTGAAAAGGTTTATTGAAGTGGATGTTGGACATGGGTTTAACTTACAGAATGTCAATAAATGAATGTGAATATATATTTTTGTGTGTGTTTGAACCACAGTACAAACAATGAAAGGTTTGGGAGCATCATCTTCCCCAATCAAAGTTTATGTAGGAACAATAATCCGCTTTATTCACTTTAAAGTCTTAAGCTTGTAAAACACCTAATCAAAAGTACACACCCGTGAATTTTATGGTTCGCACCGTTAGTTGATGTCCCAGCTGCTACGTTTCCGTTCTTGTCTATCACAATCATACCTAAATTCAAAACATTCTCAAAGATTAGCACAAATTCTGCAGAAATCCCCAACTCCATTCTTCATGCTGAGAAATAATGGATTTCTAATCCCATTTATTTTCCAATTGTACATTGGGTTTGGCCACTCTTAAAAATAATAAATAATAACCCTTGTATTTGATGAGAACATCTTGCGTTGGGAGAATGTCTCAAAACACATTACATAATTTACTTTAAAGTGTGGTGGCTATATTTTGTAAGCAAATAATAAATATATGGGTATTAAAACAAACTTGCCAATCGTGTCATGGCTGCGATAATTGATGCGTTGCTTCAGGTTTTTCAGTTTTTTGGATTGTCGTCTCTCAGTTGGCTTGTATGGACCGCAAGATGTTTCCGGATCCGGAAAGACGCTCTACAAATACAGGAAAACTCACATAATTGGGACCATAACATTTAATATGATTTACGCGAAGTTCGAGTTGCAGGCAAACTGTATAAGTTGTATTAAATCCAAGTTAATCAATAATCTACACTAAGCATGCGTAATTCAATCCAGTCAGTAAGTGAGCATGTCGTGACGGAGCAAGGCTATGTTTTCCGCGATTTAATGCAACTAGTACGTACGGGAGTTATGGAGGGTAGGGGAGTGATGTTATGAGTTAGGAGGTTATTAATACAAGTAGTGCAAAGAAATCTAAGTGGTTTTGGTAGGAAACTGAATGGGACTTGGGTGAATGTACAACTTAGGTGATTGTACTATTAATAAAGATAAGACTTATGCAAGTTTAACTGTATGTGCTTTTAAACAATCAGTAATTATATTGCCTTTTTTTAAATACAGTCTACAACATACATCTAAAAGGTTAATAAAAAGACCTGTTTTGATGGAATTGACACTTACTTTCCGAAAGTTTGGCTGGCAATTGTTGGCCAGCCATTTTGCGTGTATAGACAGAGAATTATTAGTTGTTAAATCTTCACTTAGGAAACCCATATTCTGAGAAAACATTGATGCTGTTGGAAAAATATAATATTTCTCATGAGAGTTCATTCAAAGCAAAAGGCATCCGAGAAATTAACAATGTCTTGCGAATAATTCACACCATCAAAAAATATACATGCAACATCTGATCACTTTTATTGTTTCTCTGCGTTATTAGAACACTTTCTGTTTCAGATCAGGATCCATTCATTTATCATAATAATAATCCTTGGATTCGAATTGCGTTTTTATCAATTTGTCGAAACATCTCAAAGTGCTTCACAGGAATTTACTGTAAAGTGTAGTGACAGCATACTTGCAGCCAAATGCGGCAGCTAATTTGCCCACAGCGATGTCACACAAACAGCCAAGAAGTGAATTTTATTTGCGGATTGTTGATCAGGACACCAGGTGAAGCTCCCTCAGTTTTCAAATAGTTCCTTCTCATCTCAATAGTGCCATGGGATTCCTGTAATCTGCCTTTTTTTTAACATCCACCTAAAAAGGCAGCTGGATTAAACCTCAGTTTAACTTCTCATCCAAAGGATCGCACCTCCAACATAAAATATAACCCTGGACTGGATTATCAGCCTGGATATGAGCTCCAAGTACCATCGCTCAATGGGAAGGGATGTTGCCTGAGCTATGGACAGGAAAACGGTGGCAATACTCATACGCATTTCATGCTGAGATGTGTTGCCCACTGGGAAGCTCACAGGGAGTACGCTGTACCTACCATTGGCCTAGTGAGGCTCAAACCCATGCTTCTCGGATGTCGAATGACCAACTAGTGACAATCCTCCTCGGTGGGAGGTAAGCGGGGTCTCCTTGTAGCTGAACTGGCTCCGAGGTGATTTCCCCAACAATGCAATGTTGGAATAGAGCCAGCCCTCTGCAGGGGTCTCAGTAGTCCGGTTCCTGAGCCAGGTGGGACCACAGATTCCAGGGCACTGCTGATGACAGCACAGGATCTGGAAGGACAGACTTATCACTGGGGGAAGGGAGTCACTCAGCTCCTCAGCTAACCTTGCAAGCCAAAGCTCCAACGGTTAGGGTGGTCCTAGCCGGACAAGCAGCGGGAAAGCTTACCAGATCGCAATATCAATGACAAGCTATGTGATTTTAGCTGGTTAGACTCCAGCAGTACCCCAACGCACACCTTGGAGTCCCCAAGCCTTGGCTCTTGTCAACCTGCACCTAATACTTTCCAGAATTAGGGAAGCAGGATGCAACCCTCCAGGGAGAGAGTGTGCATTCAATTCTAACAATCTATCTCTGAGATTTCCAAGTGTAGATGGGACGCAGGAAAATCTCAGTTTAGTTTGGATACTCTAAAGCACAGTGATGGGTTTGTACATGTGTTAGACACCCGCTGATCAAACAAAAATCAAAGTGCCAATGTGGGGCTTGAACCCACAACCTTCTGACGGAGGAGATTGTTACCAACACAGCCAGGTTAACATAGGGATAATTGGTAACTTCAAAGTTTGTTTTCCAAAGTACAGTTTACCCAATATCTTGATTATTAGATTAGAAACAGACCTTGCTTCACCACAGTAATTGCTCCATTGAAGTGAAGTTTAACCAGACAAAGCAGCTGACACAAGTTTAATAACTCATGGTATACACACATTCTGCGACACTTCTGTCTGTTTTCGATGTTTATGCTGATGAATGTGGAATAGACAAGTTAATTTATCCAAATTATGTTTAGGCAATAACTATGGGAATACAAATGTGATTCAAAAGGTAGAGCAACAAATATTCTGTCACTTCAAGCTCTATATTTATCTTACAGGAGTTTTATTTCAAAGGTAACAAAGCCATGATTCCCATTGATTCAAATATGACTTTATTTTACTGTATTTAATTAACATGGTCCCCAAAATTGTAGCTGCATGTGGAGATGAATATTGTTTATTTATTCTTTGTGATAAAATGCATTAAAAAATAATTGCTTATTTTCAGCACTAAATCGTTCATTACTTCTTAAATTATGAAAGTTGCTTTGAACAGAAATAGATGCAAGACTACTGAAATATGATGCATTAGGTTTAATGGGTAAGGGATATTTTCAGGGAGTGGAAGGGCACCCGAAGACATTTAGGAGTTAAGGAAAAACTAATAAAATAATAATAATCCTTACATTTCACCCACAAAATTTACAGACACTACACTTCATAGTATATTCTATAAAGCGCTTTGAGACGTCTCAACAACGTGATAAGGCGCTATATCAAATGCAAGGATTATTATTATTAATATTGGGTGACAGCACTTTTCACGTGAGGGGGATGTCCCAAAGCGCTCACAGGATATACTGTAAAGTTCAGTGCCTATGTTTTGTGAGCGAATATATGGATCATAATTTAATATTTCATAACTGATAAATCTTAGGTTTCATTGACCAGTTAAAAAAAATTATCCTTTTTCAAATTCATTAGTTGCTGCTGCTGTTCAGTAATTAATTACAGTTGAAATGTGGGCTTAACTCCCATATCTGGGTCTTAATATTAGGCCACCTACTGTAGTTGGGAATTAATACTAAAATGCATAAGCTTTATATACAATTTACCGCTTCCTTCTTGTGAATAAAACAAGATATCATTAAGAAAGATAGGGAGACAGGAACAGGAGGAAGTCATTCAACCCAGCAAGCTTGTTCCACCAGTTTATTAGATCTTGGTGGATGTCTTAATCCCAATGCCCTGCTCTTTCATCATACCCCTTAATATCTCTATCACCCAAAGATGTGTTGTGTCTCTCTTTTAAACAAAGACACATTTTTGATTCCACCTCTACAGCTTTCTAGTGCACACCATTCCACATCGTCCCAGCCTCTGACCTCAGTTCTAACTGTTTTAGTTCTGTTTGTAAGGCTTTGCACCCTTCAAATTGAACCCTCCCATTTCCACTATCTAACTTGTCAATTCCTTTCATTATTTTACATAATTCAATCAAATCACCCCTTAAACCTCTGCTTCAGGGAACAGAATCACATTCTCAGCCTCAGTTTACAATAAAGCCTGGGTATTAATCTAGTGAACCTTGCTAGACACCCTCCAAGTATTTATCACAATTAAATGGGGAGCTAAACTGCTATAGCACAATACATATCTTTCCTAAGATGAGGTGCCCAAAGCTGATTACAGTACTGTGCTGAAGGACATTACAGTATAGTACTGATTTCTGCATCTGCGAACTGGATCTTACGATCTATGGACTTGAGTCAGCAGAACTCTCTGGTTATCCACCTCTCCTTGGCTTTTCCCATTTAGAATATACTCACAACTGCTATTTTTCCACCTGAAGTGTACTACTTCATACTTTGCGGTGTTAAAAATTCTCCGACATAGATTAATGGCCGACTTGCTTAAGCCATGTCACATTGTATTTTTCACTTGTCTTCTTCACAATTTACAACACCTCCAACCCTAGTGTCATCTGCAAACGTAGAAATAGGCCCCTCTATTCCTATTTCAAGGTCATTGATATATAGGGTGAAAGGCCGGCCCCATCAACTCCTGGGGACACTACTTGTTATTGCTTGCCAATCAGAGGACACCGTTTTATATCAGCTCTCTGCTTCCTGTCTCACAACCAATTTCCTACCAACAGCAGAATATTACAACTCCATGTGCTTTAATTTTTAGCTAATTATTTTACGTGTGGCACTTCACCAAACGCTTCATGAAAATCCATATGCATGACATCCATCAATTTCTGACTGAGATAACAATAATGATTAAATATAATAACAATTAGGCGACTGAGCTTTTGGTCAATCAAAATCCATGACTGTTTGTGGAACACCGTCACATTTTGAATGAATGAAATTAGAATGAAAGTTTTTTGACCTCCGTGACATTTAATATAACTTACTGAAGATTTGACATTGATTCTTAAAAAAAATTAACAGGTAGTTTATAAACTGCATGGCTGCCCCTGGTAGATATAATAATAACTCTTAAATTTGATATAGCATATTTCACGTTAGGATACCTCAAAGTGCTTCACAGAATATACTGTTCAGTATAGCAACTGTAGATGAATGAAAACATGCACTGACAAGATTTTTAACGTTTCACCCACAAAATATTCAGTCAATTCACTTTACAGTATATTCTCTGAATGCTTTGAGACGTCTCAAAGACGTGATGAGGCACTATATCAAATGCAAGGATCATTATTATTATCTTCCTTTAAAGTTTCAACATACTTGCTCAATAAATACTTTGTTTATACAAAGTTCCTTTTAGACATGATTCTCTGCAAATAGCACAGTACAGCATAAATTGTCATTAAAAATCCTCATGCTGGAGCCCTGATCATTAATTACTCTCTGCGTAAAGAAAACTTCCCGGTATCTATCCTGAAATTGACCTTTGCAACTCTAAACCAATGTCCTTCCTTTCTTCAAATGCCTCTTAAAGAATCAATTGGCTGCCATATTTTGCCCACAAAATATAGTAACTTTACAATATATTCGATGAAGCACTTTGAAACGTCTAATAAAGAGGATAGCATTGGTTACCTGATTCTCCCACTAACAGTGTATGTCTGGTGTGTTCCATCACGGCTCGAGCCACACTGATTGCACTTTTGATTCTTCTAAGGTCTGCAACTGCCCCAACTTCCATTGTGTTGCTGAAGGACACAGTTTAGATAAATATTCACATCAAACCCGAACATGTTCAACAGCAGTGGATATCAGACATATCATATTTTAATCCCTTAAAGAGGTGACATGTTGTGAGTTTTAATCCTTCCACGTTTTTATTTTGTCTATGATTTTCACATCTGTTGCGCTTTCATTTGAAACTTTGCATATCATTACGCGGTGACAAGACATAAATAGTTACAATGAAAAAGTAGTCTTTAATATTTACATGATTTATATTCAGTGCCTTGAAAAATTATTGCAAGATTAAGTTGAAATATTAGACATTCACATTTGCCAGTATGGATTGAAAGAGAGATGTGAGCATCTGAGTAGAATGTCATTAAAGATAGGATAAAACGTTGAATCATAATAATTCTTGTATTTGATATACTGCCTTATTGCCGAACCAATAGAAATGTTGGATTCTGCAGATTCCACAGAAAAATTGCAGCCGCAATTTGTTATGGGCCCATCTTATCACGTCATCAAGACATCTCAAAGAACTTAACAGGATTTACTGTCATTGCCTACCCATTCATAATCATAGCATCCAAACTCGTCTCTCCATGTTCATCTGGGCTTCCCCCATATCCCACGCTGCCATCACACTGGTCAACTTCACACTGAGCACAACCTTTTTCCACGGCATCTAATACTGAGCCTCCAGACTGAAGGGTGCTCCAGGCTAAAAAAAACACAAAAGACGTTCAATTTAATAACTGGCGATGACACACATCACTTCCAAAAAAAGGTTTAAACCGATTCATTCATCGGAAGCACAAGCTTGAACATTTACTTGAGGATGTGTGAGAGGCATCTGCTTTTTTTAAACAGCAACACAATACAGTATTTTGAAAACATTCACTTCATCAATTATATGTGAAAGCAAAATAATCCATTTTATGGCTTGAACTCAAAAAGAGGTCTCCCATTTCTAGAATATCATGCTGCAGGATGTAGCAGTGACAGACTGCTTGACACTAGATATGGATATTTATCGTCAGAGTTTGCAGGGGCTGTAATATGAAACATTTAACAATAACAAACGTTCATACATTTTCAGTAGCAGAGCGTAAAATATAACAAAACATAATTTATACACAATAGTTTTCATTTATAAAGAGCCTTTACACGTTGGGAGGGTATCTCAAAGCACTTGCAACTTGCAAAGGACAACAACTTGCATTTATAGAGAGCCCTACACATGAGGTAGAGTCTCAGAGAGATTAATAATGTTGTGGCACGAAGCCGAACCTGGGAGAAAGGGGAGGTAACCATAGACGAGGAACGTTTTGAGGTGTGATCTAAAGACGGGCAGAGGGGCAAGGTGGAGGATTGATGCAGGGATTTTTCCAAAGTTACGGGATATAGTGGCTGAAGGCGTGAGGGCGATGTATAATTGCAAATTGATGTAGTTGTTGTTACTCCCTACTCCATCAAATAAATGATTTAATCTGCACTGATTGTCCAAATCATTTGTGCAAGAATGCAGCATGGGTTGTATTTTCACAGCGATGCACGTGACACATTCGCTGTACTCATTGGCATTGCATACAAATGTAATTTTGTTGTTGTTGTTGTTATAACTAAGTTACAGAAGACAGGACTCCGTGAAGAGTATTGAAACATATGCATGGAATAATACTCCCAGGCCTCCCACCAAAAATATGAGTTTAATGATTACAAATAGCTAAGATACAATACAATATTACATTTGTAAAGTACCTTTCACATCAGGAGGACGTCCTAAGGTGCTTAAAGGTCAGGGATTAGGACCCGAGCGGGGGGGGGGGGGGGGGGGATGGTTGGCATCAGGAAAGGTGGAGGGCAGAAAGGGTTGGAGGGTGGCCGAAGGCAGAGTCGAAGGAGGGTTTTTGAGGCGTACCTTGAAGGAGCCAAAGGAGGGAACAGGCAAAGGGAATGTGGGATGGAGTTCCAAAGGGTGGGGACAGAGAGGCTGAAGGCCCATCCGCTGATGGTGAGGTGGTCCGGGTAAGGGACATCTGCTGAGCAGAGGGAGTGGATAGTTTGATATGGTGATGTGGGCTCCCGCTATCTCCTCCTTCCTAAGGAGACAGAGGAGCCCTGGTCACTGATGGGCAGAATGTCATTTGTCACCTTGACCGGGGCTGTTTCCGAAAATCCTGACTTTTAGAATCGTCAACACGATCTTCACACATCTGGGGCTAAGACTGTCATTGGTTGTTGAGGCAATAGTGATGTTTCGCTACTACAATCTCACGTGAAAAAAATATACAATTCCAGCAGTTCTGGTTAATTTATCGCACTGAGTTACTAACTTTCATCCCCTTTAATCATTCAGTTTCGAAACCTCCTCATCAGTGTGAAAAAAATGTGACAAATTACCTGCAAAGAGATAATCTGGCAGTAAATTAAGTCACCTATTAGCAGAAATTGCTGCATTCACTCACAAGAAGCAACCTTGACCAAGAGAACGTTGGTAAAAGGTTTAGTGCCCACAGACTGAATTACCATCTACTCACTATTACGTGTTTGCACAGTATATCACAAATCCCACTTGCAAAATTTCCATTAACTACTTAACTCTTGAAAAACAAGTGGTATAAGAACCAAGTAGCAATCAACACATCTGATTTTTGTCTTACAGGCGCAAAGAATTGTAGTTGTTCTAAATCTGATAATAATCCTTGCAAATTCGTATAGCGCCTCATCATGTTGCCGCGCTGCCTCAAAGCGCTTTGCAGGATATACCGTAGAGTGGTGTAACTATGTGCAGCCGAACGTGGCAGCCATTTTACGCAGTAATGTTCCAGATGGCCATGGAGTGAGTGACCAATTTTATTTGGGGGGATTGTGGCCACAGCTGGATGAGCTCCCTTCTGTTTTTATGCCATGGGATCTTTAACGTGCACCTGAACAGGCAGATGGGACCTTGGTTTAACGTCTAACCTGAAGGCAGGCACTCTGACAACGAATGCCATCTCCAGTACTGGATTTCCTTGCTACTGACACATCTCTCAATTTCGCAACTCTCCCAAATAAAAAAAAAGGAGGAACTGAGCGCAGCAACCAGCATCACTAAAACTTTTGTTTGAAATCTACACCACCTCCTTGCAATTAACAATGTCTCGAGGATGGCCACCTGTCTGTTTTTTTAATGGTTGCTGGTAAAAAAAATGTAATGTGGCTTTGTTTTCAGGTGAGGAGAGAGTGCGTGCTAAAGGTGATTTGAACGAAAGTGTGAACTGCACAATTTCATTCAAATCACAGCTCTGGGGGTCAACATTGTATCTCTTGAAGCTATAATAACAATAATAATCCTTGCATTTGATATAGCGCTTTTCACGTCGGGAGGACGTCCCAAAGTGCTTCACAGAACACACTGTAAAGTGAATTGACTGTATATTTGTGGGCGAACGCGGCAGCCAATTGCACACAGCAATGTCCCACAAACAGTCGTAGATTGAAAATGACCAATTTATGATTGTTTTTGGTTTAGGAGGGATTATTATTAGGCTGCACATTAAATGTCCCTTTAATGTACTGTAGGGCTCAAGGAAATAAGTCAGAAAGCCCTGAGAGGCAACTTGCATTTATATGGCACCCATTCATTCGGGGCAGCGTCTCAGAGAGATTAACATTGGTGGAGCCTGACACCGAGCCGGGGAGAGGCAGGAGTTTGCTGAGGAAGGTCTTTAGTTGTGAACTAAAAGAGGCGAAGGAGGGGGAAAGGCAGAGGGATTTAATTATTAATTATGTTCTTTTTTAAGGTAACATTCATAGGTGTGCAGCTATAATAGGAGATGTCTTTCATCGTGTTCATGAAACTTTTTGTCACGGGTTGCTGTGCGTCAACGTCTACATGGCATGCAGCTTGAACATCTCCTCTACACCTATAAGGAATGGCTTTTGATAATAATAAAAACAACGATAATCCTTGCATTCGATACAACACCTTATCACGTTATTGAGTCGTCTTACAGCGCTTCACAGAATATACTGTAAAGTGAATTGACTGTATATTTTGTGGGCAAAACGCAGCAGCCAATTGCGCACATCAGTGTCCCACAAACAGTTGTGGATTGAAGTGACCAAATTATTATTATTATTTATTTTTTGAAGCAATTATTAGCCTCCGTGTGTGTGTGTGTGTGTGTGTGTGTGGGGGGGGGTGTGAGGGTCTGTGTGTGTGGGTGTGTGTGAGGGTGTGTGTGTGTGTGAGGGGTGTGTGTGTATGTGTGTGTGAGGGTGTGTATGTGTGTGTGTGGGTGTGTGTATGGTGTATGGTGTGTGGGGGGGTGTGTGTGAGGGTGTGTGTGTGAGGGTGTGTGTGTGTGTATGGTGTATGGTGTGTGGGGGGTGTGTGTGAGGGTGTGTGTGTGAGGGTGTGTGTGTGTGAGTGTGTGTGTGAGGGTGTGTGTGTGAGGGTGTGTGTGTGAGGGTGTGTGTGTGTGAGTGTGTGGGTGTGTGTGTGAGTGTGTGTGTGTGGGTGTGTGTGTGAGTGTGTGTGTGAGGGTGTGTGAGGGTGTGTGTGTGAGGGTGTGTGTGTGTGAGTGTGTGTGTGTGGGTGTGTGTGTGAGTGTGTGTGTGAGGGTGTGTGAGGGTGTGTGTGTGAGGGTGTGTGTGTGGGTGTGTGTATGGTGTATGGTGTGTGGGGGGGTGTGTATGGTGTGTGTGTGTGTGGGTGTGTGTGTGAGTGTGTGTGTGAGGGTGTGTGTGTGTGAGTGTGTGTGTGTGTGTGGGTGTGTGTATGGTGTATGGTGTGTGGGGGGGTGTGTGTGGGTGTGTGTGTGAGTGTGTGTGTGAGGGTGTGTGTGTGAGTGTGTGTGTGTGGGTGTGTGTGTGAGTGGGTGTGTGTGTGAGGGTGTGTGTGTGAGTGTGTGTGTGTGAGGGTGTGTGTGTGAGTGTGTGTGTGAGTGTGTGTGTGTGGGTGTGTGTGTGTGAGTGTGTGTGTGAGTGTGTGTGTGAGGGTGTGTGTGTGTGAGTGTGTGGGTGTGTGTGAGTGTGTGTGTGTGGGTGTGTGTGTGTGAGGGTGTGTGTGTATGTGTGTGTGAGGGTGTGTATGTGTGTGTGTGGGTGTGTGTATGGTGTATGGTGTGTGTGGGGGTGTGTGTGAGGGTGTGTGTGTGAGGGTGTGTGTGTGTGTATGGTGTATGGTGTGTGGGGGGGTGTGTGTGAGGGTGTGTGTGTGAGGGTGTGTGTGTGTGAGTGTGTGTGTGAGGGTGTGTGTGTGAGGGTGTGTGTGTGAGGGTGTGTGTGTGTGAGTGTGTGGGTGTGTGTGTGAGTGTGTGTGTGTGGGTGTGTGTGGAGTGTGTGTGTGAGGGTGTGTGAGGGTGTGTGTGTGAGGGTGTGTGTGTGTGAGTGTGTGTGTGTGGTGTGTGTGTGAGTGTGTGTGTGAGGGTGTGGAGGGTGTGTGTGTGAGGGTGTGTGTGTGGGTGTGTGTATGGTGTATGGTGTGTGGGGGGGTGTGTATGGTGTGTGTGTGTGTGGGTGTGTGTGTGAGTGTGTGTGTGAGGGTGTGTGTGTGTGAGTGTGTGTGTGTGTGTGGGTGTGTGTATGGTGTATGGTGTGTGGGGGGGTGTGTGTGGGTGTGTGTGTGAGTGTGTGTGTGAGGGTGGTGTGTGTGAGTGTGTGTGTGTGGGTGTGTGTGTGAGTGTGTGTGTGAGGGTGTGTGTGTGAGGGTGTGTGTGTGAGGGTGTGTGTGTGAGTGTGTGTGTGAGTGTGTGTGTGTGTGTGAGTGTGTGTGTGAGTGTGTGTGTGAGGGTGTGTGTGTGTGGTGTGTGGGTGTGTGTGTGAGTGTGTGTGTGTGGGTGTGTGTGTGAGTGTGTGTGTGTGGGTGTGTGTGTGAGTGTGTGTGTGAGGGTGTGTGAGGGTGTGTGTGTGAGGTTGTGTGTGTGTGTGTGTGTGGGTGTGTGTATGGTGTATGGTGTGTGGGGGGGGTGTGTATGGTGTGTGTGTGTGAGGGTGTGTGGGTGTGTGTATGGTGTATGGTGTGTGGGGGGGTGTGTGGGGGGGGTGTGAGGGGTGTGTGAGGGTGTGTGTGAGGGTGTGTGTGTGGGTGTGTGTGTGGGTGTGTGTGTGAGTGTGTGGGTGTATGTGTGTGTGTGTGTGTGTATGGTGTATGGTGTGTGTGTGTGTGTGGGTGTGTGTGGGGGTGTGTGTGTGGGTGTGTGTGAGGGTGTGTGTGTGAGGGTGTGTGGGGGGCACTGACCTCGCTGAGTTGCCGTATTGAAGCTCCAGGTGTTGATGACGAGCGGCAGGAGGGCAGAGCGGGAGCCGCGCCCGAGCAGCAGCGCCGCCCAGAGCCCGAGCCCCGGCCCGAGCCCCAGGCCCGGCCCCAGGCCCAGCCCCAGGCCCGGCCCCAACCCCAGCCCGAGCCCCAGGCCCAGGCCCGGCCTCATGGCCTGTGTGTCCGTGTGTCCGTGTGTGTGTGTCTGTACTCTCTCTCTCTCTCTCAGTCCCGCTGTTACAGTGCTGCCGAGGACCTGAGCTCACAACAGCGGCAGCGATACCAAACCCCTCCCCCTCCCCCCACTGTGTGCTCAGCCCCTCCCCCTCCCCCCCACTGTGTGCTCAGCCCCTCCCCCCACTGTGTGCTCAGCCCCTCCCCCACTGTGTGCTCAGCCCCTCCCCCTCCCCTCCCCCCACTGTGTGCTCAGCCCCTCCCCCTCCCCTCCCCCCACTGTGTGCTCAGCCCCTCCCCTCCCCTCCCCCACTGTGTGCTCAGCCCTCCCCCTCCCCCTCCCCCACTGTGTGATCAGCCCCTCCCCCCCCCCCCCCCCCACTGTGTGCTCGCCCTCCCCCTCCCCCCCACTGTGTGCTCAGCCCCTCCCCCTCCCCCCACTGTGTGCTCAGCCCCTCCCCCTCCCCCCACTGTGTGATCAGCCCCTCCCCCTCCCCCTCCCCCCCACTGTGTGCTCAGCCCCTCCCCCCCACTGTGTGATCAGCCCCTCCCCCACTGTGTGCTCAGCCCCTCCCCCTCCCCCTCCCCCACTGTGTGATCAGCCCCTCCCCCTCCCCCCACTGTGTGTTCAGCCCCTCCCCTCCCCTCCCCCCACTGTGTGATCAGCCCCTCCCCTCCCCCCCACTGTGTGATCAGCCCCTCCCCCTCCCCCCACTGTGTGCTCAGCCCCTCCCCCCCACTGTGTGATCAGCCCCTCCCCCACTGTGTGCTCAGCCCCTCCCCCACTGTGTGCTCAGCCCCTCCCCCTCCCCCCTCCCCCCACTGTGTGATCAGCCCCTCCCCCTCCCCCCCCCACTGTGTGCTCAGCCCCTCCCCCCCCACTGTGTACTCAGCCCCTCCCCCTCCCCCCCACTGTGTACTCAGCCCCTCCCCCTCCCCCCACTGTGTGCTCAGCCCTCCCCCTCCCCCCACTGTGTGATCAGCCCCTCCCCCTCCCCCCACTGTGTGCTCAGCCCCTCCCCTCCCCCCACTGTGTGCTCAGCCCCTCCCCTCCCCCCACTGTGTGCTCAGCCCCTCCCCCTCCCCCCACTGTGTGCTCAGCCCCTCCCCTCCCCCCACTGTGTGCTCAGCCCCTCCCCCCCCACTGTGTGCTCAGCCCCTCCCCCCCACTGTGTGCTCAGCCCTCCCCCCACTGTGTGCTCAGCCCCTCCCCCCACTGTGTGCTCAGCCCTCCCCCCACTGTGTGCTCAGCCCCTCCCCCCACTGTGTGCTCAGCCCCTCCCCCTCCCCCACTGTGTGCTCAGCCCCTCCCCCTCCCCCCACTGTGTGATCAGCCCCTCCCCCTCCCCCCACTGTGTGCTTAGCCCCTCCCACCACTGTGCTCAGCCCCTCCCCCTCCCCTCCACTGTGTGCTCAGCCCCTCCCCCTCCCCCCACTGTGTGGTCAGCCCCTCCCCCTCCCCCTCCCCCCCACTGTGTGCTCAGCCCCTCCCCCCCACTGTGTGCTCAGCCCCTCCCCCTCCCCCCACTGTGTGATCAGCCCCTCCCCCCCACTGTGTGCTCAGCCCCTCCCCCTCCCCCTCCCCCCACTGTGTGATCAGCCCCTCCCCTCCCCGTCCCCCCACTGTGTGATCAGCCCCTCCCCCTCCCCCACTGTGTGCTCAGCCCCTCCCCCTCCCCCCACTGTGTGATCAGCCCCTCCCCCTCCCCCGTCCCCCCACTGTGTGATCAGCCCCCTCCCCCTCCCCCTCCCCCCACTGTGTGATCAGCCCCTCCCCCCCACTGTGTGATCAGCCCCCTCCCCCTCCCCCCCTCCCCCCACTGTGTGATCAGCCCCTCCCCCCACTGTGTGCTCAGCCCCTCCCCCTCCCCCCACTGTGTGCTCAGCCCCTCCCCCCTCCCCCCACTGTGTGATCAGCCCCTCCCCTCCCCCCACTGTGTGCTCAGCCCCTCCCCCTCCCCCTCCCCCCACTGTGTGCTCAGCCCCTCCCCCTCCCCCCACTGTGTGATCAGCCCCTCCCCCTCCCCCCACTGTGTGCTCAGCCCCTCCCCCTCCCCCCCACTGTGTGCTCAGCCCCTCCCCCTCCCCCCCCACTGTGTGATCAGCCCCTCCCCCTCCCCCTCCCCCCACTGTGTGATCAGCCCCTCCCCCTCCCCCCACTGTGTGCTCAGCCCCTCCCCCTCCCCCCACTGTGTGATCAGCCCCTCCCCCTCCCCCCACTGTGTGATCAGCCCCTCCCCCTCCCCCCCACTGTGTGATCAGCCCCTCCCCTCCCCCCCACTGTGTGCTCAGCCCCTCCACCTCCCCCTCCCCCCACTGTGTGCTCAGCCCCTCCCCCTCCCCCCCACTGTGTGCTCAGCCCCTCCCCCTCCCCCCCACTGTGTGCTCAGCCCCTCCCCCTCCCCCCCACTGTGTGATCAGCCCCTCCACCTCCCCCTCCCCCCACTGTGTGCTCAGCCCCTCCCCCTCCCCCCCACTGTGTGCTCAGCCCCTCCCCCTCCCCCCCACTGTGTGCTCAGCCCCTCCCCCTCCCCCCACTGTGTGCTCAGCCCCTCCCCCTCCCCCCACTGTGTGATCAGCCCCTCCCCCTCCCCCCACTGTGTGCTCAGCCCCTCCCCCTCCCCCCACTGTGTGATCAGCCCCTCCCTCCCCCTCCCCCCACTGTGTGCTCAGCCCCTCCCCCCCCACTGTGTGCTCAGCCCCTCCCCCCACTGTGTGCTCAGCCCCTCCCCCCACTGTGTGCTCAGCCCCTCCCCCCACTGTGTGCTCAGCCCCTCCCCCTCCCCCCACTGTGTGCTCAGCCCCTCCCCCCACTGTGTGATCAGCCCCTCCCCCTCCCCTCCCCCCACTGTGTGCTCAGCCCCTCCCCCTCCCCCTCCCCCCACTGTGTGATCAGCCCCTCCCCCTCCCCCCCCCCACTGTGTGCTCAGCCCCTCCCCCTCCCCCCCACTGTGTGCTCAGCCCCTCCCCCCCCACTGTGTGATCAGCCCCTCCCCCTCCCTCCCCCACTGTGTGATCAGCCCCTCCCCTCCCCCCACTGTGTGATCAGCCCCTCCCCCCCACTGTGTGATCAGCCCCTCCCCCTCCCCCCACTGTGTGATCAGCCCCTCCCCCCCCCACTGCAAACCCAAGCCCCGGAGGGTGCGGTGGTCCTCGCTGTAGTGACACGCAGTGAGGAAGTTTGTCAGACACTGACATCACTGGGGAGCTACGCGGCTTTAGTCGGGTTACACTCACAGGTTTTCTCCCCGATGCACTTGCCGCGGTCCCCAAGCCGCAGCTCTTTCCCGCCGGCAACCGATGCACTCCTGGATTAGAGAAGCAGGACACGCGCTTCCGGGGCCGCGCGCATTCCCTTCCAATTCAGGGGATTTGCCAAAGCGTAAAGTGGAAATCTCGGTTCAGTTCGGAAATCGTTGAACACGGCAATCGGTTTCCGCGTGGGTTTCATTTTTCAGTCTGGCTTGGATACTTTCAACCCTATTGATGGGTTTCCGCATGTGTCAGACATCCGGCGGCCCAACAAAAATGTCTTTGGAAAATGGGAAGTCTCGTTTAACAAGTCATACTGGAGTTTATTGCCATACAGAGCATTTCTCAAGGGACATCCAAAATGGTTCATACCACCGGCTAATGGTACTTCAATATCACAAAGGTTTTAAAACGTCTATTCCTCTCCCTCAGGCTTGTAGCCTTTGGCACAGAAAATGTAATGTTATAATTGTCTCTTAATGGTCGGCAAGAGTGACAGCTGTTTACGCTCTACAGAAAGACCATTGTCTAATACAGCAGTTTAAAACTGATTCAAGACATTTTAGATTTTAAATTAAATAAGGATGTGTTTGATTGCAGTACCTTGTCATGAATTTTTACATCGCAATTATTCAAGTCACTGAATTGCCTAAACTGTTCATCGAAAATTCTTTATTTCTGAAATATTGATAATTGTGCATCACAAATAAAATGACTGAACTGAAAATGCTAAATATATTGAAAGAGCTTCCTTAATAATTAAAATATATATTTCCCATACTTCAACTAAGGTAAGAAAGTACTCAGTTAATGAATTTTGTTGAACTGTTTATTTTTAAGCAGTTTTCAAAGGTGTACATTATACAATATAGATGTATTATTTTAGTTAATCACAGCAACATAGGAATGTAGAGGTCCAGAAAAGACCATTATGATCTATTGTCGCCAAAGTTAAAAAATATTAGAACTAAATACATTTAAAAAAACTAAATAATGCTGCGTTATTTCTCTCATAACCCTCAACAAAATTGTTCACCAAGTACTGTAACTATGTAATTTCCTTTAGAATTTGTTTTCACATTCTGCCTCCACCAACGCTTTGGTCGTTAATTCCATTTATCTATTGTGTGGATTCATATATTTTAAACACAATTTTTTAAAAAATACAACAATTCTGATATTAGTATGAAATAATACAGTAATATGAATTTTAAACTATCCAGTCCAGTAATCAACAGGGATACCTTTACATACATTGGAGGAACTTCTAATAAACTGGTTAACAACGAAAGTACATACAAATATTGGAAAACTAATATGTAGCTCTAGTAAAATGAGAGAAACAAACTGATAGCACCCAACAGGCTGACAATGTCCACCAAGTGTCATGCATGTTAAGCAACTTTTAAATCTTCCCATGAAACTTTGACTTGTGGATATCATTAGTATCCTGTGGTACAGTAGGATAAAGAAATCTTAAATGTAAAATGTATTGGTTTCCATTCAATTTGAAAATTATATTGTATAGTAATTTGAGGTACCGACAGTTTAAAAGACTTTTAAGTGCCATTTGTGAATGTCAACCAAATAGCATTTTAGCATCTAATCAGTAGATACGAGCAGAGCAATTGACATCCTGGTGAAACCCATGTGTCCAAGATCTCCATTAAGTGCAATGTGTTAAGTTACAATGGCCTATCTCCTGGAGTCAGACAAATTGATTTTAGATAGCCCATATCTTCCAGC